TTATTTCATGAATTTGATAGATGTAATTGACAGTGATCTTAATATTTTGGAAAATGTGAAGTGTGTGTTGACATTTCCTTTTTTCCACTCCAGAAATTGTATAATTTTCTCATATAATTTCTATTATTGCTCTCAAATTATTAACAGAAAAATATTGGAGAATGCTGGTAAATAAGCTGAATATTGTAAAAGGAATTACTCGAAGAACTGATTGTTATGAAACATTTATGAAAAGTAGCTCTCGTGCTGCTTGTTTGGTTTCCCATTTTATGATTTCTTGGCCTGTAGAAGTTCGCTTTTTTTAGAAATTAACAATGCGTAGGAATAATTGTCCTTAAAAGTTTTGTCATCCAGGGTAAAAACGTATCTCTTTGCACCTTTGCTAATTAATATATGTTAATCGGGTAGTTTAATCCAAATTTATAATCCCCAAACTTGTCTTCTTGTATAAGGGCATAAATACATTGTCAATGCAACCGGCAGTTACGCAGCTCTATCTCCAAATCAAAGAACAAAGCAAAGAAGAATATAATATAAATTTATAGGCCTTAAAAGAATTTTCGTTGAAAATAAGGAGCAGTATGTTACGATCTCAGTAACTTACTTGAATAAAATTTGTGGTGATCGAGGGATAGCCAGGAGATGTGGATCTTTCATACGAAAGTGAAATGAAGAGAGAAATGCTCTTTGCACTGACAGAGTGGTCCATAAAATTCCGGTGAGATATCAGTAGTGACAAGCTCTTAATATTCTTTCCTTGCACACAGATATTTTGAATCAATAATACGAATGCCAACCTAAATCAGGATTATGGTGCATTAATAAAGAAGATTTCTTCCTTGAAAGAAAAAAATTCAATTTTATTTCTATTGTGGCTACCTAAGACGACGCAGAGACGTTGAAAAATAGTTATTTTAAACTTTTCAGTTTATTCTAAAATACAGCGTTTATAACTAGGTTCCAAATATTGCAATATAACTTCGAATTTTTCTCGCAACTGATGTTATTTAATTACATAGCATAAAATTTGAGAAAGAATTGTCTGCGATTTACAAATACAGCTAATGAGAAATGAAATTGATTTCGACAATACCAGCAGTTTACAAATCATAAGCAAAGCAAGAACATTTTGAATATTGGAATAAAAGTATATTTAAAAAATAAGCATAATGTTTTTAATTATTTCTTTAATATTTTTATTATGTTTTTTTGGTGTTTCATAGAATTCTTGTTGGGCACTGAAAAGGGCACCACTCTTGTAGAAAAAATTCTGGCTACGCCACTGGGTATACAGCAGTCCAAGTGGGTTTGAACAGAATCTTGTTATAACATTTCAACATTTCCTGCAAATCTGATAATCCTGTTTCAAGAACATCGTAGCCACACAAATTTAGATAGGTAATTCACTCGGGACTCTGTTTTCCACTTCATGGTACACGCACGTTCCCTTAGAAGAGAGAATCCATTTATTGTAAGATATGTTAGATTCTGAACTAAAGAGTGGTTGGTATTACAAAGAAGTACTGATTTCTTTTCAGGTCGTATACACAGCAGTGTTACCATGATTAAAATTTACAATCAGTTGCCTTGAATCTTACTAATAGATACTATGAATATGTATGGTTGTTTTTTCCACTGGTGTAAACCAAAATAATGCGATCACTCAGTTCGTATCCGATAAATTAATTAAATGATTTAATCCTAGGTATTATGCATTTGTCCTCACGTCAGGTGCACGCAAAATCTAAGCTACTGTTTTATGCAAAAGTAGTTTTTTTAGACATTTTTTATATTTTATCTTCCAGTTCTCTAAAGTGCATTTCCTACATTTTTTGCCATTATTTCTATTCTTAAGTATACGCACGAATAAGGAAAACTATCTATTACCTCCCCTATTACTGCTTTGTTATTCTTCAGTCAAAAAAAAAAAAAAAAAAAAACTTTTCGCATTATCATAAAGACTACTAAGCTTTCTTTTTCCAATTCATTCCTATTTGAATCAGCTAAAAATAATACCCATAAAATAATTGGAGACTATAAGTAAGTTTTCTATCTGAATATAATATGTTTAACATACCATGAAAAAGTTTAAATTGTGTACGAACCGAGCATAATTTACTGAACGCGTAATAAGTGTAACAAAAGTATTTAAATACAATATTTATTTAAAATGAAGTTATAAATTAATTAGTTAGAAATATTCGTTTTTATCCAAAACCTGTTTTACTAATTTTTAAATGCTATATATAACAATTTAAGTCACTTAATGCTAATTGTTTTAAGTATCTCTGAACTCCTAGCACGCTTCTACTTACATAGAGTTTCCACACCTTTAGTGCATGATCCTCTGAAAGTATAATTCAGATGACAGTGAAATCGTATCCTTTAAAGATATAACGAGACTGAAGTTATAAATATCTGCACAAACCACACGGAATCACATTATTCACTATTGCAAAAATAGTGAATAAGTCCTAGCTACATTAAGTATAACTATCACTAAAGAAACCGTCGAAAATTTCTCCGAAAACATGAAAAGTTGTTCAGCTGAGTAAGACAGCCGACGTACATACACTATATAAGCACGCTGAAGAATCATCTGAAAAAGCTGAGGAATCATTTCGTCAGCCCAACCATCAAGCAAAAGGTGTCCTTTGGCATTCTTGAACGAGAGAATCCACATCATACTGAGACTAAACATCAGTGACGAGCGAGTCCAAAAATACTCTAAAAACATTAGAATAGAAGAAATATTTGTTGAAAGTTCTGACTGTAAGACATTATTAAACTGCACAAGCTGCTGAGTTATGATTAACTGAACTCCTGACTCATTAAATTATAACCTAAAGATAACAGATCTATATTTTCACCATATGAAAAAATTATGAAAGGCTGTTTAACCTTTACCACTGAGCCTCGAACACTTGTGTTTAAAATAATGGCGAAATAGAGAAGAAAATAAACAATTGAAAATATGACATAGACCAGTTTCCAATATCCTAGGTTTCCGAATTTTTAAAGCTATTTATAATAGAAAACAAAGGTATACCTGCAGTTTTTCACCACGATTTGACGTATCAGTCCACCATCATAAAAATAAAAAATGGCACAGGATTAACTGCTGATTCACATACCAATAAAATATTTTTAATTTCATAGTTCTTAATGATTTAATTTAATAAAGTAGCTTTTCTATACGGAATCGATAAGCTAAACTTAGTTCTTTTTATTTAATAAACATAGTTCCTTTTCTTTACATTTTGATAAAAACAGAGAGCAAACGTCCCAGCTTTTAAGCTACACAAAATGTGTCGAATTCTGAATCATTTCAACATTCTGTTGAAAAAGGAATCAATGATGTTTAATTGGATTTTCGTACTTGTGTGTAAAGATGGTTTTACTATTGTGGTATTTTAAGTCTTAACTCATCAAATGAAAAGTAATTTTTGCACCATTTTATCCTGATTCTTGACTTATTATAATGGATGGGCTTCACTGGCGTCACTGAAAATTCATAAAGTATAATAGAGTTAACCAAGTAAATTAATTATTTCACCTGAAGAGAACGAATCTGAATAAATGACTATAGGTAAAACGCTGCATTTGAGATACAAGTCACGACTTTCATTCATTATTTAATCAAATCCAAGTCACGCATTATATACTATACCATTAATAATGTTTGAGACAAAGTTTAGTATTCGTATATCATATTTCAGAGCCGCAATTGCGAATAGTTAATACAATTTTTAGTTACTAACTTTGTTAATAACATTGTTCAGTAAATAAAATTAGAATTTAACGAAAGCGAGGTAGGTAGAATATACTTTTAATACATTTAAATATTTTACTGCTTATCTCGGCTACCATTTTGAGAAACCGAAGTTTATATTGAGGAATAAGAGCTTCAGAAAAAATTTTAAGACAAGTGTTACTACGATTTCTTTGGCGCAGACGGACTAAGGCTTAGTGGGATATGCAGATTTATATGCTTTCATTTCCTAGGTGACAGTAATACAGCTGTTACAATTTTATTGTATTATTGTGGATTTGTATTTTGAGAAGCAGAACATTTCGAATTTCAAAGGGAAAACATGAGAAGTGCAAGTACTATGTGAAGATCTGTAAAGGACAGGGCAGTTTTACCTTTTAATTAATAGTTCTTGCGTCTTTTCTGTTTCAATAAAATATTTTTAATCAATATTAAATTTAAACTATGCTTTCAAATCAAGTTTCTTATTATTTTATATGGCTGTACGTTTAGATACCTAATATCAGAATCATGTGGAAATGGCATAAACAAATGAGGCATTTGTCAAGAACTGAAATAATATATAATAAATAAAATATTAATATAAAAATGTAGAGACCATTAAATATTCAGGCCAGGAAACATAAAAATCTATGAACTCGTCGGTATTCTAAAACGTGGATTTTTCCAACTGCCAGCATTCTAGTATTTACATCTGGATAATATGCAAAGGTAATTCGTTAATTCCTTACATTCCCCTCTCCCACTTAAATTCAACTTATTGGAGAAGCATGAAACTCAGTCAGTCAAATCCATGTGGTATTTACGATCCACCACATTATAGTTTAACAGATTCTTCAGAAAAGGAAACGTGAAAAATCGGCCGGAATTAAACAATGGTTCTTCCAACATTCAGCTGAACGTGCTAACCATAATACTACGAGAACAAGCAAGGGAATTTTCTTAAAAATTTCTTATACGCATGGGATTTTAGCTTATAAAAGTAATAAAATCAGTTAATGAAATATAACATAAAAATGTGCATTTATAAGCTGTAATTTTCAAAATTGTTCTAAATGTCTTAAATTATATCGGCACGAACTTGCTTGTAAATCAGATAATTTCTTTTAATGAAATGCATAAATGACGACAACGTATTTCTTAAAATATAGGCTAAGCACTTATAAATGATGATTTAAGTTAAAAATTAAAATTCTGGTAACGATATTTTCTATGTAATGTTTTGCAGAGTACACGCTTCATTACAAAACGGATGATGGTAATTGGCAGCAAGAGCAGCTGAGCAGAGACGCAGATCATTACACCCTCAGAAACCTTCGCTGTGGTACTCGATATCATCTCTATATGACAGCTTCGAACAGTTTGGGTACAGGAGAACCAAGTGAACCAGTTTCAGCTCGAACAAAAGGAGCGGGTAACTAAATATATAAAATTCTATATACTTTCTTCTTTGTAATGAACGAAAGTAATTCAAATAGGTAATTTTTATGTGTTATTGAAATCCAACTACATGGAAAGCTCATACGAAACAATAACAACTGCGATATAACTTTAATTAATGACTGACAAGTGTGAATATGTAAAATACATATATGTAAATTTTAACCATAAAAGTTTCATGAAGAAATATTTATAGCTTAAGAAAAATAGTAAAGAATAACTTTCTACATTTGAAGTGGAAAAGGTAATATTTAATTTTTAAGTTTATGAAAAATATGATTTTTGTTTCCAATATTTTTTTTTAATTGCAGGCATGGAAGTCAAAAATATTTTTCAAGGTTTCATTTCTTTTCTTATATTAGAAACAAAATTGAAGCATATCACATTAATCTCCTGGAAAAACGTCCAGCTTACAATGAAACTGTAGATGGATCTTGATTTTTTTATCTGCCTTGATATTCACGATTTTGACGTGATTGGGAAAACGAAATCTAATATTTTTAGCCCCATAGCCCTTTCCTGTAATAAGGTATAAAGTCATTACTGCACTGTCTTGTACGTAAATATGGTTAAAATGCTTGCTTATCCTCATACAAAATGCAGGCTTATCCTGATGCAAAATTTATTGTAGTTTTAAGCACGCAGAATAACGCTAATTTTACTATTGTAGTTTTAAGCACGCAGAATAACGCTAATAAACATTATAAAACAATGTTTTAAACGCGTATCATATTTGTTAATAATCTGACGAAATGTTTCGAACTTCTCTACAGCATAACATTTCTATGTTTTATGTTAAAAACTGATATTTTTATCATCATGATAATTAAAATATCATTTGAAATTGTCTTATAATTTAATTAATTTCTATTATCTATGTACTTATTTTTTCAACTATTTCTTTTCAATAATAAGCACAAATATGGAGAATTATTTGAGGCAATAATAGATTGAATTATTTGCTCGCTCACCCTCAAAGACTTTCAATTTAATCGAATTTGATACCAGTAGTGAGTTTTATCTCAATAATCTAAATAACATTTTAATTAAAAGGGATGTAAAAAATGACGTGGGTCTGAAATTTGCGAATGAATATACATTAGCTACCACTTTAGCCTAATGCATCAATATTATTCGAATAATATTCTAGAATGAAAAATAAGTTTAAAAACTATTCCTTTTACATGAATTATTTATAAGAGACGTTAAATTTGACATAACGGATACAAGAAACTATTCAGATTTATTATAGACGTTATTCTTATGTATTAAGAATCCTAATAATTATCCGCGTGTTTTTCAAGAATACTGTTGTCTATGTTGTTTACCTTTTCACACAGACATGTTTGTAAATAATTAAATATATTATTAGATTATATTTTTAAATATTATAAATATTTAAAACATACTTAGTTCTTATAGATATCCGGCAAGCAATATACAATTAATTAAAAATATCATGAAAAAATTCTGCACCGTCGTATTAAGTAGTTACAATAAATTTATTGTAATTTTCGTCCCCTTTTTTTGTTCATGCATATAAGGAATCATTCACAATTTTATTTTATTGCATTTCATTTCGTAATATAAGCAGCAGAAAGCGTATATTTCAATCGTATTTGAAGATGAACTCCTCTCCTATCCAAACTCAGTTTGTTTTTCCTTAAAACTTTACCTGTTAATTAGAAGCACAGTAAAATACAATTCGTTTCCGAAAAGCTATTTTTTTAATGTTTCCCATATGTTATGACTACCTACCACTAAAATGTTTAAATATGCCGGATAATACATTTATTTCCTACCTTAAGTTATTTTGTTTTAAAAGGTACCTCTATTTTTGCTTATAATATTAGAAATAATGTTATATTTGGAAAGCTTTTCACACAAAATTTCGCTTCAAATTTCTTGTGAGAATAATTAATTATAACTGAAAATATTTCCAACTTCTGTTAAATAGAAAATTTTATTTTTCTTTAAAAAATACAAAAGAAAATCCGGAAAGGCAAAAAGATGTTATGAAGTATTCAACGTGAGAGAAAAGCTGAAAGAAAAATATTCTTTGGGAAGTTTCAAAAAAAGTCCTTCAAAATAAACCCAGAGCTTTCAGCTTCAAAATACTTTACATTTCAAACAAAATCCATGTATTTTGTTCGCAAAATTCCTTCCTGGATATAGTCTTTCTTTTGGATTTGAAAATAAAAATAAGAATAAGGAACAAATCTCATCTCTGCTGACGTCATATATACTAAACATAGAATGAAAAAAAAAAAGAAGATTAGAGTAGTATTTTAGAAATATGTTTCTAAGAATTTCAGCATCCGGGAATTTGCTATTGTTTTTATTTTTTAGCTATGTTGTATAAAACCGTATCCTTTCTTTTTTTTACCTATATTATAAGGAGTGTTCCCGGGGCATGCGATGTTACATATAAACGAGAAAAACCCATAGTAGAGTACAACAATCTTTAAAAGTCAGAAACGGTGAAATAAACTACAATGAAAATTCGAAAATTTTGCATGATCAGTAAAATAAGTCATGAGAGCTATCTATTCTGATACAAAGTTTATTTTCAATCAATAAATGCACGAAGCCTTTCTAGAAATTAGGCAAGTTGCGTATTAGTACATAGCTGCTGCTTAAAGGAGAAATTTTAAAATAAAGGTAATTTATACTTCAGACCAGTTTTCATCGATATATACAGAAGAAAGGGAAATTTGCTATATGTAACTCATTTGTTTGCTAAATACATCAATAAACCGAAAATCATATCCGATTTCAGGACTTCAATAGCAAATCTTCCAACAAAAACGGCTGTGTATTTTAGAAAGCTGCTAACTTTCAACTTATTTTTAGTAATTTTTCAAAACTAATTTTTTCATTTTTTAAGAGCAAATTTATAAAAAATGGAAATTCTTTTCTGGCTTCATGTGTTTAAAATATCTTAAGAAGAGATTTTGAAATCTTTATACTTTCATGAGATTGATTGTTTTACCTTTTGAATTTGTTATTGAAACTAACATTGGAAGCCTTTAGGTTAGGTACTTTAGTGAGCCGTAGATATTTTATTACACATCAAATAAGATTACTTTTCTCTTTATTTTGCTTCTTTTTCAATTTTTCTAGTAAACTGAAGTTGTAATATTTATCTCAACTCTCCGAATGCTCCTTACAAAGAGCGCTCGTTAGAATGACCTTTCCGTTATAACGACAGGTACCAAAACGTTCACAACTAATGAGCGTATAATAAATGCATTTTAGTTTACTTATCGTTCGTTATAGGGTTCAGTTTCTGTGCAACTCAATGTAGCAACTAATGAGTTTCTGTGCAACTAATGAGCGTATAATAAATGCATTTTAGTTTACTTATCGTTGCTTATAGGTTTCAGTTTCTGTGCAACTCAATGTTCCGTTAAAATGATATAATTTTAATAGAAAGGGAGATATTTGGTATAATCCTCCCTTGGAATTATTTTCAACAGTATAAAGCAGAATAAAATATACTTAATATTATTTGGCGAAGTATGTATTACAGAGCATCTCTATGATAACAATGTACTTATTGCATCATTTTTATAGTTTTGACTCATAGCACTATGAGCAACCATACACCGCCGCCGTTTTTATTAGAAATATACATGAACGTTATCTCTTAGAAATTTTACAGTTCATACTTTTTGCGTACGTGATATACTACTCTCTTTTTTTCCTATGTAACGTAGATGCTAACTTCAAACAAAGAAAACAATTAAAAAAATGTGAATATTAGAAACCGAAGGTGCCTGGATTACAGTTTCAGAACCGAACGTTAAATTTCTGTACAGAATATCATTAAACGAAATTTCATAAGAGATATGTTTCATTGTACATTGCCTTTGTCTTCAGTTTCCGTAAACTGTAGTTTATTTATGTATCTTCTTATAAAAAGAATTAATTTGGTTTTGATGACTGAAAGAAACTTTAATTTCTATTAAAAAAATTACTTTGGGAAACAAATATGTAATTTTCATCAGAAAAAGTTTCCTTTTTTTGTAATTAAATGTTTTCGAAGAGTAAAAATGCACATAAAATGTTTCATTTTGCAATATCGTTATCTTCAGACTCGATATGTGCATATTATTTATGCATCTTTTATAAGAAGAATGCATTTGGATTTGATGAAAGCGACTGCAGATTCCATCCGAAAAATCCTATTTTATTTGTTATAATTAAATGCTGTCGAAGTGTAAAAGCTCACATCAAAGTACATTTTCGAGATTACAACAAATGCAAATATTCTCGTTTTTCCATAAAATGCTGCATTGTTCTTTTATAACATTAGCTTTACTTGTTTACAATAATTTGCGGCTGCTGCTTCTCACTGTTTTCATTAGTGTAGCTGTCACCAAAAGCATGTGACATGAATTAATTAACGACTTCTTTTCTCACGACTAAATGTCATCTACACATGCCACCCCAGGACTATCATTTTCTTGAGGATTAAAGTTTAAACGTTCCATAACATTCACCATACTAACAAGTTAATGGAAATATTTGTTTCTCGAGTCTGATGTGACATAGCACTACATTATTCATAATGTTCTTACTAAACGCTTCAACGATGTCTACTTTTTCCTTGACATTTCAGCTATTTAAATTAAAAAGAAAAAGGGTAATGTGGCAAACGAAGGAATATATTTTATATGCAAGCAATAAATGCGTCACAAATGGAGAATACGTTAATAGTATAAAATTAGAAAACATGAATCACTAAGGTTTACTCACGTGATTAAATTTTGGAAGATTTTTAATCGAAAGCTTTACAAAAATTTAAAAGTGATCAAATTATATCAGAAGTAGTAACAATATCTCTTTAAATCTTTAGTTTCATGAGCTTGACGGTCATAATAATACTTCTATATTTGATACAATAAGCTAATATTTTCGAAGAAAACTATACAGGTGTGGTGTATTTAATTATGACAAAGCACACGAGGGCTATCTGCCTAAAGGGAGGGATGCCTTCGTGGAGGACTTTCTAAGGGAAACTGGCTCGTATACACGTTGCACATGGGGAAAACCACGAAAACGCCCATGCAGCCAGCCCGTTCGCGGGATTCGAACCTCGGACCGAACTACCAGTGTTAAGCGACTTTACCGCTCGGCCGCTGGTGGGCCGAAAACTATACAGGAAAGCATCGCTTAATGCGATTCGTTAAGTCGTTAGATAAAGAATACTCATAATTAAAAGTCTATCATCATTTAGTGGGAATTTAAAAGAAAAAAATTCTAAATGTTTAACAGGATAAAATCATGAAAGTTACAGAAAATCAGCTGCTTTGGGCCTAGATTATAAAATCTAGGCAATCTTAATTTATTGTTTTTAAAGTGAAAAGACATTGCTTTTCTTAATGTTGATTCCCTGTTTCAGTGAAATTTCGACAAAATAAACAATATTACCATTTAGTAAAATCTGATGTGATGATTAACTAATCCTTTTACTAAAATTAATTTATCTCTAAAAATTAAATTAAAATGTCTTTCGAAACAAGTAATGTTTTCTCACGTTTCCCTTTTCTCTTGATCCCCAGCACTTCTTTTTTTGAAAAATCTCTGTTCTATATATCGTGAGTAGGACTATTTATTACATGTGTTTTTTAAAGGACATAATGGCATATTTGGGAGGGCTGTTTTAGCGATAATTTAAAATTGTCATTTCTTTTAAATGTCTGCTAATTTTGCTTTATACAAAACTTTCACAAGAAGAGATTAATGTCATCCTTCCATTCAATTGCATTAATTATCAAGCACACCAAATTCTCGCTGGTTAATATTTTCCTATATTGCATTAATTAAATGTATCAGATTAATCTCAGTTTGCTCTATCTGTTTGTACTTGTTTAATACTCCATTGCTCTGAAGAATTCCTGTGCTCATACTAAGTAAACTTTAGGGAACATGTCGTCAAATTAAATTAACTAAACAATAACAAGAGATTAAACTTAACTATGTCCAGTAGCATAACTAAAATTTAATAATTACCAGTTACTGTCACTTGCGAGATTTCAGGAACTCTAATATTCAGAGATAGAAAATTTTGTCATCTGATTAGGTCCCATTGTCTTGCGGCGGACCACACAGGGATGGAAATTCTTCTGTGGGCTCCCTTCACAAGCGGCAGTCTTCGAAATGTTAGGTAGTGGGAGGAGACATGCTCTAAAATTGCAGGAGTAACAATTATTCAGTTATTCCTCCACTTGACATTACAAGAGTCACAATTTCACGACCAGAGTTAGGGGATTTTAACGATCTGCACTGTGTCTGTCATCAAGTCCTCTCGAATTCAGGGAATGAAGAACCAATGACCCTTTAGCTCCTCTGATGTCGCCTTCAATTACATTCTTAGACAAAAAAAAGCGACTCATTAAGAAGGAGTTGTCCGAATGGGCCGAAAATCGGTAGAAGTGATGTACATGTATAGAAAAACAAATGATTACAGTTTGAGAAAATTTGGATGATTTATTGAAGTGATAGAGCTTCACAAAGTGAAAAAGTCAGTAACACTTTCTCCACCTCTGGCAATTATGCAAGCGATTATTCGGCTTGGCATCGATTGATAGATGTTGCGTATGTTCTCCTGAGGGACATCGGGCCAAATTCTGTCCAACTGGCGCGTTAGATCGTCAACATCTCGAGCTGGTTGGAGGGCCCTGCCCATAATGCTCCAAGTGTGCTCAATAGGAGATGAATATCCGGCGACCTTGCTTGCCAAGGTAATGTTCGGCAAGCACTAAGGCAAGCAGTAGAAACATGTGCAGTGGGGGGCAGGCATTATCTTGCTGAAATGTAAGCCCAGGGTGGCGGGACATGAAGGGCAACACAACGGGCCTTAGAACTTCGTCGACGTGCCGCTGTTCTGTAAGGTTGCGACGGATGACAACCAAAGAGGTCCTACTATGAAATGAAATGGCTCCCCAGACCATCACTCCTGGTTGTCGGCCTGTCTGCCGGAAAACAGGTTGGTAACACACCGCTGTCCGGGGCGTCTCCAGACTCGCCTTCGCTGGTCATCGAGGCTCAGTTCAAAGCGGGACTCATGACTGAAGACTATTCTACTCCAGTCAGTGACATTCCAGTGCGAATGAGCCCGACACCACTGCAAACGGGCTTGACGTTGTACAGAGGTTAATGGTAGTCGGCGCAAGGGGCGCCGTGACCTCAGCCCCCTTTCTGTGAGCCGTCTATGAATGGTCATTGCGGTCACTGAAGCACTAGTTGCACGTACAATTGATAATGATGATGCATCTGTGGCTGTGAGTGCCGCTCTGATGATTGCTCGGTCTTCACGTCCTGTTGTTTCTCTAGGCCTACCGCTTCCTTCTTGACGCTGTGTGCAGCCATGGTTCACCCATTCCTGCCAAAATCGTCTAATACTGGCATCGCTCTCGCTCAAATGTCGAGCTATTCGCCGAGAAGGCCAACCGGCTTCTTCACGGCCTCTCTCAAATTCTGACATCTGCGCATATCATTCGCGCACCTGTATTCGAGGGATAGTTACTGTCTACCAGAGTATACGGAATGAAATTCGTGAAGAATTTATGACCTTGGAATCGTAATTTATCCTCTTAAATATCCTGCCAGTTGCGACATTACCAGACGTGCTGTAGCGACAACCGTTCATTCATTGGCAGCCAAAATGTAAAATTTTGCATTTTCTGTCGAAACCTGTATGCATATCAATTTGTGTCCAATTTGCTTTATAGCTTCTCGGTTCGTCCTGGTTCGTTATTAAGAGGGCTTAAAATTAAAAGAGCTTAGCTAATTCACTTTTCAAACTGTGACAAACTCAAAACTCTGACACAGCAAGATCGTAGAACGATCTAAGACTCAACTGGAGAAACTCTTGCAGCAAGATAGCTTTTTATGCATTTAATATTAATTGTCGGTTGTAGTTATTTTATTATTTATAGAGCTTCTTGTAGATTTCTAATAAATATCACTTTAGTTCTATATGCAGTCAGTAATTCACAACCTAAACAAAAGACGAATCAGCCATTTACAATTATTGCATGGAGTTGCCCCAGTAACGCAACAGAGTCAATCCCATTCTAATGCATTATGCTGAGTGATTGTTAAATCACAATGTTTTTCGCTTTACATTCCAATCAAGTTCGATTAAAGAAACAGAACGTTTTGAAAGAATTAGCATAAAAATAACATATAACCAAATTAAATCTTATAAATGGAAAAAAAAATAATCTTAGCATCGAAGATGTACATTTTTTAAAAGTTTAATTTATTTCTCACTTTAATTTATTTCTCAAAAAGGAACTTTTTAATTATTAAGGAAAATGTAAGGTATTTCTCCCACCTTCCTAGCGTGCCTTCGTGGTGTAGTGGTTCTGCACGCTGGGCCGGTATTCCAGAGGTCCGTGGTTCGATTCCCTGCGAAGGCGTTTGCTCAATTTTCATCTTGCCTGCTTCCAAAAATCCTAATGTCTCTACAAATTGAATATTCATAAATATGTTATTTTGTGAACAAAGTGAAGTTTTTCTAATTTAGTACAAAATTAACTTTCTAATAATCTCTTTCATTAATATTTATAATCAACAAGCTGCAGTTCAGATTTTTGATGCCTTCTTTATGCCAGCGTCTTGTATTGATAATGTTCTACCAATAAGAAATTTAAAAGCGTTTTTAAAGTAATAATATGTTAAAAATAATTTTTCAGCTCCAATGTCACCACAGGAATCGAACTTCTTGCAACCCAATACGACCTCAGTGACACTAAACTTGGGAGCCTGGCAAAGTGGGGGTTGTCCAATCCGTCATTTTGTTGTCCAGCACAGACCTAAATACCAAAATCAGTGGACTAAAGTACCTGATAAACTAGAAATGCCGAGAGATACTTATGTGGTTCGAAATCTGTCTCCAGATAGGGAATATGTGGTCATGGTTACTGCCCACAGCGAAGCTGGTCTTACGCAAGGGGAATACAATTTCAGGACACTTCGCTCACTACAAGGAGGTGAGTGATCATTTAATTTGTGCATAGAAGTTAAGATCTTCTCAAGAGTTAGAACATATCTCGTGCAATAAAAATGATCTGAATAACATTTTTCGGATGAGTTTTAACTTTTTCCATTTTATTAATTTTCTATTTAATAAATAAAGGTAGCATACAAAAAGTTAAAAAACACACCTTTGGGCGTTTTTATTTATTTATTTATTTATTTATATTCTAAACATATCCTATTGCATCGAAGATAATATTCTTAAGAGAGGAAACTAAATGCATAAAATAAGCATGAAAAACTACTTTTTCAGGCAAATTAAATAATTATAGTTTTTACTAAACACGCAGTCGAAAGAAATAATTTTTTTAATTTTCTTAATGTAAAATGCATATATTATTTAATTTGATTAAAATTAAACTTAAACTCTGTTCTCCCTAACATTAAATAAATAATGAAGTCTTGAATAAAATATTTGAATTTGCAACTAATAAATTTTATAAATTTAGTAAGAAAATGTCTAAAGAATTGCCATTTTACTGCGGCGACTGCAGTTGCAGGTAGAAAGGCAGAAATTCCGTGCACCGAATCAGAGTACAGAAACCTTGCTTATTTTCTGAAGAGAAGCGCTTACTGTGGCTAAGCAATTACTCCTGTAGAGTAATATTTAAAAATAGGTCTTTATAAAGCATGCTTTAGGCAAATGTGCATCACATATATTATGGAAATTAATTTAATACCTCCATGAAACGCGTACAGTTTTGGATAATATTTTTAATTCTTTTAAATTATTGAAGAAATCAAAAATACCTAAATAAATCAACAACAGACTCGAATTTGTTCAGCGTTCAGTACTTTTTCTTTATGTATTTTTAATGGTCTATAAGGTAGAATAAGCAATTTTGTATGGCAGCAAGAGCACTTTCGTGGTTCACGCACCCTGACTGCAAATTTATACGTCAATCTAGGTATTCAGCCTGTTTTCTTGCCATACATTAATATTATTCAAGAAAGTTTTTTCCGACAATGTAACGCTCTCCCTCATACCACTGTTGCAATACAGCATGCTCTACAGAGTGGCCACATGTGCCTTTGCCTGCTAGATCACCAAATCTTTCTCCAATAGACCGACCACATGTGGGACATCATAGAACGACAACTAAAGCGTCATCCACAACCACCACTATAGCTCAATGTATTGACCGACCAAATGAAACAGGCATGGAACTCCATCCCACAAACTGACATCCGGCACCTGTACGACACAATGCATGTATGTATGCATGCTTGCATTCAAAATTCTGTCAATTACATCGGTTATTAATGCACCAGCATTTCACATTTGAAATGGCCCTTATCGCGCTGGCATTAATCTGCGATCTTGAAAATTTAATTTATTAAATATATTATCTAGCTAAATGTATTGCCGAAATTTTATTACTCTACATCAAGTTTTCCCAGTGTTGAGATATATTTTTTCCCGTCAGTGTATAATACAAAATCTTAATGTTAGGTTTTTTTCGAAATGTATGTATCACCAAGATTCATTTTGTATAATATTATAATAATTTTTATTAAATGCAAATGTTTGTAAAATGCTAAATGTTTATGAAAATTTTAAATACTCATGAAAATTATCAGTTAGGCATACTGCAAATCACACGAATTATATGTATTGCAAATTGAATCAGATAAAAATAGAGTTGTAAAATGCAAAAATATAAAATATTAAGAAGTGTATTTATTGCTTTTTTAATCTCTCAGCTAAGTATGCAGTGTACAGCTTCTATTTGATAGAAAAGGAATCATATGGAATTTTGAATGGCAGCGCCTCTGAGGATAACACTACGATACTTTGCGTGAAAGATTAATAAAAATATTATGCTTTCTAGCATGGCAACACGTACTATGCTGCCTGGAGAGCCTATGCTGCCTGCCTGGTTTCATGGTAGCGTAACCTAAACGAACGATAATATAACATGAAAAGACTAAGCTAATTAATGCGCACTTTTTACGTCAACAGAATAATTCGCATTTTTTATTAACAGGCAAACACCTGTTAAGAGGCAGCAAAAGCTGACTTCATTGCATGTGATGATGAATTCATTTTTTAAATTTTTTGTGTTTTTATTTATTTATTTTTACTCCTGTGAACAGGTAAGAATGTTTTTAAACTTATACCTTTCATTCCGTCGAATCTTCCGTTACTTCTCCGTGGCGCCATCTAGTAAGAATGTCACGCAAAGTTTCAGGTCGTTTCATTTTATTCCAGTTTTTATCGTTTAGAGCAGCTATAAAATTAAATTGCTTAATTTCCTGCTTTACTATTCGACTGATGTTATCGTTTCGCGATATTTTCTATCGCCTTTCCCTTTTTATTATTGCATATGGTCGTAGAATAATTTAATTTCCTCTCTTTTATTGACCATATGTTCTTTTTTTTCCTTAAAACCATTCATAATATCGCTGTCCGTAATGCCCGTTTTACGTTCTTGATCGGGAAGTATGCTGTATATAATGCTGAAATGTTTTATTTAACCTATAAACTTGAGCACACAAAAACTAAACATTTTAGGAGTTGTTCAGTTTGCACGTTGTTTATATACTTACAACAAACTACTTTTCATCTTCATTAGCATTTTAGTTTATGTTTTTTTTAATTACTTATACGTATTTTTATGAAGAAATTGATTATGTTACGTTAAATTAGCATTGATGAGCTTGCATACTTAAAGTATAGTAAATACTTTCCTAATAAATGCTGCAGTGGTAGTTTCAGTCAACTTCACGCTTAAATGAGGACAGATTAACTGGCTACGATTTAGTCATCTTCCATCTAGAAAGGTTAAATTCGCTTATTGAGGAACAGTAGAAAAATTATCACAAATCGTCAGCGCAAAATAAAACTGTATCGACGAAGAAAAGCAAAGGAGAGGAAAAAGGGAAAAAAGAAAAGTGCAGTGGCCAGTAATAAGAATGGCAGATTTTGTCAGAACTATTTTTAACTTAGTTTCTTGAATTCTATTTCTATTTATTCTTCCTTTATTTATAATGTGTCGTTTTATTTTGAATACTAATTTAATTTGCCCAACCAAATAATTTGGGTTCTTTCCTGTGTTTTCTGACTTCCTTTGGATTACCCATGATTTTCTTGTGTTCTTCCCTTTCTGCTTTTTCTGATTTCCTTTGGAATTACTCATGACTTTCTAGCAATCTCTCTTTCCTGTGTTTTCTGATTTCCTTTGGATTACCCATGACTTTCTCGTGTTTTCTCATCCCTGTGCTTGCTGACTTCCTTTAGATTATTCATGACTTTGGATTAAACGGGGACTTTGTCCCTAGTGTGATTCTGGTAAACTAGGAGAAGAATATTGATCCCAAGCATTTCTTTGTATTTAATTCATGTCAGGAGAAAGAACGCAACTTTCGTTTGATAGTACTTTTAAAAATATCGCAATATCATATTATTTATGTGAAACATTTTCGTTTCCAAACTGATGAAACTTTTCCACCGCTTCGCCATTAAAAACAAGGAATAATATTATTTACTATGTATAAATATTTACTGACTACTAATTGTTTGATGGTTGTTGGCGTTGTGTCTATGATAAAGCCTATTCAAATAGTGCGAGGAGCAAAGATGACAGCCCTGGCAATGTGCAAAATGTTATCATTACAGAGGTTTGCTCTCTTAAACAAGACCACAGTTTTTGACAATTCAGCAAGGATGACTGGACAATCAAAAATGTGGTCAGTTTTGTGTCCGGGCAGTTATCAAAGTTCTTGTAGGTTTTCCTACTCTCTCTATCAGTTTTCAATCCTCTGTGATGGCCAGATTTTTTTTAGAATGTCACGACCAGATACGGTCACAGATTGAAGAAGCTTTCTATTCTAATATATCACCAACTTTATAACATGAATGGAGATCGACTTATAACTAAAACTATATTCAGACTGTTTAAAGCTGAAATGCCCGATAGAGAAGGAAGGATTTTCTGAAATAAAACTGTATCAAGAACACAGTCAGTAAACTCTGACTGATTCCCCTCAAAGAGCATTTTTTTTTTCATATGAGGACATCAGATAATTTCCATTTTCCCAACCCCATAATTTTCCAGTTTCGCTTAAGAAAATATGTGTGATACATTGCCGTCATTACTGAGTTGTTTATGAGTACTTAATTCTAATAATACGAATTAAGTACGTATTATTATGAATTAAGTACTAATTCTAATAGTTCGTATTCTAAAAATACGAATTATAATTTTTCTATGAATTTTGGTTTCTCTTTTTAAATCAATCCTTGTCTTTTCCCAAGCAACTCTGTTGTGAATTCATGTGAAACCCCAACAGCAAAACGAAAATACTTCTGTATTCATTTCAAATGACTTATTGGCATTGACTTTACTCAAATAAGTCTCTTCGCGATTTCTTTATTATTGATACTTGTAACTGGTACAGGGTGATCAGCGAATAAGCCCTGATTTCAAAATTAAATATCTCTACAACAAAGATCGATAGAATTATGCGGTAAACTGCATGTTTATTAGCAAAACGTTAAAAATGGTGTACAAAAGCTTAGAAAATTTAGTTACAAAAATCGTTAACAGATGGCGCTCTAATCGCAATGACCTATCAATAGCCTTTAAAAATGTGCTTTGAATTCAAAAGTGATAAGTACGACTGTTGGCTAGTGAAAAAAGGCTCAATGTTCCAATTGGCCCCGATGCCATTCGCATGCTCTTTGCGAAATTTGAACGGACTGGCAGCGTGGCTGATGATCGAAAGGAAAATGGTGGGTCTAGGCAAACTGTAGTCACTCTTGAAAATTCAGCCAAAGTTTCTGGAATTGTTCAGCAGAAACCTAGGAAAAGCATCTGACGGATGGCATCAGAGACAGGTTTTGAAGTACACGAGCACGCAGAAAATATTAAAAAATAGGCTACAGCTGTTTCCATACAAAATCCAATGTCATCAGGCCATATCCATGAAAGCTTTGCAAAAGGGTTGGCTTGCGAATCAGATTCTAACAATGGTCGAAACCACAGATTGATGTGAGCTGCATCGGTTCACAGAGGGACATTTTCATTTGAATGGAATCGTTAATAACAATGGATTTTGGGGGTACCGAAAATCCTCATTGTGTGAAGAAAAAACACTGCATTCGCCTAAAGTTAATGGCATGGGCTGCGGTATGCGCCAGAGACATTATCGGACCCTTTTTCGTACGAGAAACGATAACCACTGAACGTTATGTTACAATTTTGGAACAATTTGTCAGCATTCAACTAGCGTTGGAGGATCGACTAGGCATCGACTGGTTTATGCAAGATGGGGCTCGACCACATTGAACAGATAAAGTTTTTCGCTTTCTTTATGAATACTTTGGAAATAGAGTAATTGCATTAGATTATCCGCAATTTATTGACACAGAAGTAGCTTGGCCTCCATATTCTCCCGATCTGAGTCCTTGTGACTTCTTTCTGTGGGGCGCATTGAAAGACACTGTCTATCGAAAAAATCCCGCTACTCTAGATGAGCTTGAATCGTTGATTGGTGTTGCATGTGATTCCATTTCCCTTGAGACATTGCAAGACGTGATGTCAGATTTCATTGTTCGTGTTTACGTCACCTCATTGTTTCGAACGGTGAACATTTTGAAAAAATGTATTTTGATGCAAAAGGCGCTTCACTTTTTTTTTTTTTACTCCTTTCAGAGAGTTTTCAGCGCAGAGCGCCATCTGTTAACGATTTTCGTAACTAAATTTTCTAAACTTTTGCACACCATTTTTACAGTTTTGCTAATGAACGTACAGTTTACCGCATAATTATATCGATCTTTGTTGTCGAGATATTTAATTTTGAAATCAGGGCTTATTCGCTGATCACCCTGTATAACCAGAATCTTCGAGTCACCAGGTTTCACCTTGTTTGCTCACTTTTCAGCTGGTGAATAAGATTAAAAATTTTCATCCGCCCCATTCCCATAACGCGTGAAGATGCATGACATGAAGAATACAACATGATTTACCTGTGAATTAAAAAAAAAAAGTAATAATTATGTTAAGTTTAATTTTATTGACAAGTAAATGGTATCAATGAAATTTAGAAAAAACATGGACATGGAACTAAGATTATAAAATATTATAAAACATTGTAAAAAATTCAATTGCTGAACCATTTTAGCATAATCATCCGTACTTGACTTTTAATAAGCCAGAATCTTGCAGTTCTATCATGCTGATGATAAGTTAAAATGTAAAATTAAGTAAGCATTTTGAAATGCAAAAGGTAGAATAACTTGTTCTTAGATGTTGAATGATTTTAACTCTATTTTATATTGCAGAAATATTTACCATTGTGATTGGGCGTAATAAAGAAAACTAACTTGCTTAAGCACTTGCTAATCTGGTAGGAAGGCCGTCTAACATCAGAAAATGGTGGTATTAATGTTGGCATCCGACTCGCGTGTTTTTCTTATGCGATTAGCTGGAAATAAATAAATAAATTTAACCTGAAAAGGTATCCCGTTCACTCCCATTCACATTCTGTGCCTAAGAGGTAAATGAGAGGTTCTTGAAAAACATTTTTATCGAAAATGTTTTTCACATTATAAGGTATTTCTCCCGTCTTCTTAGCATGTATTCGTAGTGTAGTGGTCTGCAAGCTGACCAGAGGACCGCGATTCGATTTCCGGCGAAGGCGTTGCTCATTTTTCATCTCTCCTGCTTCCAAAAAATACCTAATGTCTCTGTAACAGTGTCACTTTTGCGACATCATTTCTAAATTCATATCAACGTTTCAGTGCAACTTTTTCGCCTAACTTCAAACAGTTCGTAAGTGAAATGTGAGGAAAATGGGAGTGATGTCGCTGCAGATACATAGCATCTTAGGTACTGTATATATGGTCCCACTAGCAGCAGGAAAATATTTCTACGTAATTATTCTAAAAATGCACAATTACATTTTTTCCAAATGACGTTACTTTCTAGTTGTATATAAAAAAAATTATAATAAAAAATTAACTTTTAACCGAATTTCGCAACTTTCACTTGCCATCTGAAAGCAAGAAATATTAATTTTCATAAATATGATCAGGGTTGAAGCACTGGAGAACAGATTGTATTCCAGATTTCGTGCATTACTATTTATATAATTTATAAACATTTCTTTTCAACTGCCACCTGAAAGGAAAATACATTGTTTTAATTTTGATAAATATGCATACTCTGTCGACAGTTTAGAACAAACTGTATCACATCATGTGAATATCTTACTCATAATTTATAAAAATTTGTTTACTCAAGTACTCTTCTTTATTTCAAAATATTCAGTTTTGAAAGCAACTTTTCTAGCAGTGTTTTAAATAGTAGAATAAGCTATTATTGTTGAATAAGCATCGTTGATTTAAACTTTTGCACATGAAAAAATAAAATATTTATAAATTAGGTATTTTCTCTAACATTTTACTAATAAACCTATGTTTTATCTTTTTAGGATCTCCCTCCTCGCCTGCTTTCGGAAAAAGAGAAACTGATTTGCCATTTTACAAAAATGTAGCCCTTGTAATTCCTGTTGTGGTTTCTTCTCTGGTTCTCCTTATGGTAATTTTTATTGTAGTGGTTTGTCTCAGAAAGCATTCTCAAGATAGAAGAGGTAATTACTTGTTTATGTAATAAATATGCATATTCTTCATTTTTTATTTATCAGCATTAATCATTCAAACCCATATTTTTAAGATATAATTTTGTCTCAGTTATTATAAATAAATAACTACAGACGTTTTATAGCAGAAATACTGATATAAACTTCATTTAAGAGGGAAATACAGTTATGGGTAAAAGCATCGGTAACAATTGTTGAACAACACAAGCTAAATTTTTCAATTAGTTTATAATTATTGATTTTAGTAATCAATAATTATAAACTAATTGAAATATAATCAGTAGCTATAATATAATCAGTAGCTACATTTTAAACTACTAAAACATTAAAATAGAACGCAATCTAGAGCGCAAAGAAAGCTAATCCGGTCTCACCGCGAATTCGCTACAATAAAACAACAACAGTTATCTAAACAACTGAGCTGAGATATTCTCTCTCTGGCTTTTATAGCTTTTTAAATCGGCTGCACGAGAGAGATCTAGCAATTTCTGGAAAGCAAAAAGCTTAGAATTACGGTTACAGTTAACATTGTAGTTAGTTACATTTATTCAAATTAAGTATCAACTACGGAGTTAAACTTGTATTAAATATTAAATGATGCACGTGCTCTTGTATTTTTACTTTTCCGCCGTAGATTTCTCGTAAAATTCGTCATACACTGCATTGCACGGGGAAATAAAACAATTTTATTTACAATTCTACTAAAAAAATAGCTAACAAAATACAAAATCCGTAGCAATATAATAAAGTGAGGAAAGACTGAATATAATGTATAACAACACTTAGCACTGTATCAGGAATTTCAGATATGCTGCTTTTAAACGTTTTGGAATAGTTGAATTTTATGTGGCTTTGAACTTTATGTGTGTTTTATGTTGATTTTTGGGGCGTTAAGTCGAAGAATATCATATTTAATAATAAAGTTAAAAAACGAGAACCGTTGTGCCCTCAGAAGTATGTCTAATAGCAGACTGATAAACTGCGAGCTCAGCGAGAGCATCAAAACACATGTCAAACCTTTGAGTCCTACGTTAATGTCTGAATCCTTTTAGATTTTCTTTTTGTTTCTTTTCTTTTCCTTTTTTAATCAGGTAGGAGTTTCCTATTTTAAATGTATTTTTATTTTTAAATTATTAAATTTTCAGCTCCCTTCGAATAACTACATTCCATGCATTGCGAAATCAGGAAGGAAAAAATAAGAAAGATTAAAAGGAAACATATAAATTAGTAGAAACTTAATCTTCTGTTCCAAATAGACTTAACAAGTTTCTAAAACGTCTTAAAGTCTCTTTGATAATATATGCATATGCTATTACAATAACATGGCAAAGATAATTGCATGGGAAAATATCCTTCGTAAGCTCATTAGAAAAGGCCATACACTGGGAACAAAATAAAGTAGCTTTGTAATAAGATCAGAAATGATCTTTCTAAAGCAAAACATAAACAAATCTTTAATCGATTTTTTAACACTTTTTGTCTCTAAAAGGAAATTCTTAATAACAGTATTTCAATGAATAATTTATAAGTGGCAAATATCGATACGAATTAACTTTTACGGGTTTTGGAATATGTTTTTTAATTGGCTTCCAGAATTTTGAATGTAAAATCTTTTCTTGAGAATTGATGTCTGAGCTAAAAAATATTAGAAGACTTTTCCGCTAAAAATATAATGTTATTGATCTGATAAGAAGCATTAGACACTAACTGTGGTTCATCATTAATGCTAAGTTATTATTAATAAGCACATACATTTAGCTATATCAATTGGATTATTTGTTTTGTATGAAATGTTGGTATTTTTCACATTTAAAAGACTTGGCTGTAATAAACTGCTAAATGCTGTCTTTAATTAATTTACCATAAACTTTATTTGAAAACAGTAGTTTTATTTTCAGCCAGCAAGCTTATTTGGCGAAAAACGTTTTCAAACTTCAGTTATTTTTGTGTTACGTTCCATGGATTTTCTCCACCAGAATGTTAGATCTGTATTTCTAACATTTATGGTTTAGAAAGCTTTTCTGGCCATAATTTAGCAAATAAGGAACTAATGGAATGGCTACAAGTATTAGAGACAGTTAAGGTTCTGGGTATTTCAAGATATACTTTTTAATTCCTACAAGAAATGTGAGGGTTATATATTTTTAATATATAACAGTAAATACGCGTCTAACAGCAATATGTTTTGCAATCAAAATTATAGAAGATTGCCCTGATGAGAAAGTGGTTAAGTGATCCTGACTGCGGTACGGAATGCCCCAGGTTCGAATCTCTGAGAAGGCATAGATGTAATTTGTCCGTCCCTTCATTGGAAGCAACAGTGTCCCACCTATTATGTGCTTTCAGCCTTAGTAGTAAACAACGTCTATAAATGGCTAGGGTCTGTTATTGGAAATAGAAATAATGATAGAATGTCAATAATTTAATTAAAATATTTTTATTCTGTAAGTGATATACAATCCAATCTCACCTATCCAATTTCGTAAATTAAAAGTTTCTGATGAAATTTTGTTTAATCTTTATTATGCTAGTGTAAGAGAATTTTGTGGTTAATGTTTTTTCATCCAATTTGGAATTATTGTAAAAATGTTTATAATTTTCCACAATTAACGTTTATATTAAATTATAGATGGAGTGTGTCTAGTATTCGTTTAAAACCAGCAATAAGTTTTACTTAAGACTCTTCTGATAAACAAAACAGGGTCTAATCGATTTAATCCAAATTTCGTATAAATATTTAGTATTAAAAGGAGTATACTTGTGAAAGCTCAATGCTCATCTCTCAAAAATCAGCAAGAAATCCAGGTTAATTATTGATTAACCTTATTGATAACAATTCTTTTTTTATAATTTTCTTAGTCTGTCGATTACCTCAAGAGAAAAGTGCCATTAACTAACTAGTGTTGTATAGATGAAAAGTCTTTAGCTCGAATGTCGATACCGACAAAGCTGTTTCTAGCCAATTCTCTTAAACGTAATAACAAAGAAGTTTGTTCCCAAAAATATTTTAAGGTCATAATGTTTAAAAATATGAAAATAATATTTTATGCGTTCACATCGTTCACACCTTTTGCACAAAATGTTCAAAATCATATAATTAGAAACATGAAATATTTCCCAAAGATGGTGAAGACAGTTTTTTTTCAAATCGCCAGTTTTTACAAACAGTGATTAAATGTGCTTAGTTCCTAAAACGAGTGGCACTTTTTTTCAGAGGAGAGAGGGAGAATTTTTTTTCAAGGCTGATTAATCTGTCCTCCCGGAAAAACCTTACTACAAAATTCTTTCCAAACATAGAGCTTGTGATAAACGACATTTTTATCTGGCAATTACAGTGCAGAAGTATTTTATGCTCTTAGTGATTTTATAACAAATTTTGACTTATCAGTTGAAAAGAAATTTGTAAAAAGTGAAAAAAATTAGAAAAAAAATATTAAAATTGTTTTTTCTCCATTTTCATTGGCTTTTCTTTTTCTCTTTATTCCTTCAAAATATGTTTTAGGATTAATCTTTTGAAATAAAATAGCATTAGAAGACTTAATGATTCCAGTAGAAAAGACTACTATAGTTGTTGGGTTTTGACATGTGAAAATTATTCTTTTGGTACTATGGCATATTAAGACACATTGTCATCGATAATTCCCTAAAATTGTGGAACGTACGCAAGATATTTCCTACTTCAACATTGACTGTTAACTTTTTTACGAGAAATGCATGCTGGCCTTTCGTAAAGCATGTAGTCCTGTTTGGATAGTTCTTTACAATTATACGAAAAATGGGAGACGTTGGTGGAATCGAGGTTTTGTACTCCGTTTCAGAAGCTCTCTGTGCATTTTATTATAGACACATATCCAGATTTATCTTTCAATACCCATAAAAAATACGTTTCATGAAACAATCGACGCAATCCATTTTTTAAAGGAATATGTGAAATACAAGCCTAATTAGCATTAGAGATTAGAAATAATCGAATCAAAAGTGGTCAAACGCTTTCTGATATAGAAATCAAGGAGTTACTTTATCTGATGGCGAATCAAGCGCTTTGCGCAAAGGGAATTTTCTGCAATACAGAGTTTGATTTCAGAGTGTAAAGACTCAAAACCATTTGTTATAACTCTGAAGTACTATTTAAAAGAAACTGCGAAGTAGCGAATCATTGGCAGTTTAGAAACAGGAAACATAATCGTGATAGCGGTGGTATATGTGAAAATTTCAAGACAGGTACTCTCTAGATTATGGAAACAATTTCAGAACACGAAACTATTGTAAAGAGGCCTGGATAAGGTCGTTAACGAACAGCAACTGCTTCTCAAGATCGGTATATGTCAATAATTACCCGTTGTAACAGGAAGTCTACTGCTGGGCAATTACGTTTAGAGCTTGCGCCCGCAAATGGAACCGTTGTATCACAGCAAAAAGTATATAGAAGGCTTAATGCAAAAGTCTTTAAACCAGAAAACCAAGGGTATGTGTTTTACTGTATTCACAAAAGACATATCACTTTAATTGATGCGAAGAACATGAGAACTGGAATGAACACCAGTGGTGTCCCATATTCTCTTTACTGATAAGCCGAGGTTTAGTTTAGCATTTTATTCTAAAAATGCTCACATCTGAAAAGAGTTAGGAACGCGAAATCTTTCTTCGAATGTTAAGGAACGTGAGAGTTTTGGTAAGGTAGATAGGATGGCATAGAAAGGAATACTAATCGATCTGCATACGTCCCTACATATTTTCAACAGCGGATCAGTGACTGGCCAGAGATATCGAGATGAGCTGTTAGAACCTCAGGTAAAACTTTCCAGATGTGCATGTAAATCTGACATTTTATTTATGGGCCGCCCACATCGAGAAAACGTCATTGACGTACTCCTTGAAAACGAAGTCACTGAGTGAATATTATAGCCAGCAAAATCTCCTGATCTTAAGCCGATAGAAAACAGATGGGACTACTTTGGCAAAACAGTTGCAGGGAGACGTCTTTCATCTAT